ATTTAAAGATGGCGGCGTCCACATCGACACACGGCGGAATTTCAAGCGATTTATTGCGTACAAACGTGAAAACAATCGGGAAATTAAATTCAGTAGCCATGGTAGCGAAAGAGTTAAAGGCTCATTTAACGTTTCAAAGTGTTTTTCTCCGAATTGTATTTTTGCAACATTCTTGTAACTTTGTGAAAACGAAAATCGTTCACGCCAGTGTCTAAACTCAAGGGCGGGCCTGCGGCTGCATATATTATAAAGGAAAGTCGAAAAACGTCGATAGGATGCAAAAGTGGACTTACGTTCTGAAGAGCCTTTCTTTTTTTCGGACGATATTTTCAGGTCGAAATCGGCTCCGTAAACAAGGAATAAATCGTACTTCGGTTCGTGAAGAAATCGAAATCTGAAATCAGTATATTTTTATTCCTCCATGGTGGTACACCGTACGCGTACTCTATAGATCTACCGCGCAACTGTGACTGTGTTGACGATTATGAGGCATGTATGCATCACGACCTATGAAGCTAAGGCCAAAAAAAATCTCCGGTTTCTGGTATGGAGCTTGCCCAAAAAGTGGTGCGGCGACGCGGCTTTTTTTTTTTACCCATTTTTTTTTGCTTCAAATGTATGCTGATGACTGTAAATGGTACCTGACTAAACTTAGTGCAAATATATGGGAGTCCAGAGAAGCCACATAAAGCTTATTCTCGATCATAACCCCATCTAAAAACACGTTAAAATTGTGCAGCAGCAGGATTCCAGTCAAAGCAGTAAGTTCGGCGGTTTTGAGACATCATCTTTTATTGATTTTTTTTTTTTTTTCATTTTGCCAATGCGCATGGCTACGGCGACGCGCGCGCATACCAGAAACCGGAGACTTTTTTGGGGCCTAAACCACGGAAGGTTGCGCCACGAATGCGCATGTGCAAAGCAAGACTAGTTACGTCTGTTTGCTTATATATCTCCGATTATCGATCGCCGACTGATGATGAAATGATGATATCTTTCGTTTGTAAACATTGGCGCCATTTTATATGGGCTGCCGCAAGCGCATAAATTGAAGCCGTGGTCATTGGCAACATATTTTTCCAAAATTCCAAAAAAGTCCCCATAACGCCCTCAATACAAAATAAAAAGGCATGTTTAGGAATTATGTTGTGACTTTGTTGACAATGTTGTATTTCCATCAACCTAATAATGTTTTGATTATCTGTAATAACTCTTCTTCATCTTTGCAGTGTTGGACCTTCCATAGTTGGCAAAAATAGCGTAGAAAGGTCTATACGGCCATGCAGTACGTAGGGGTCACGTTACGTTGGCATTCCGGAATTGACGATTCCATTATGAAGGGTGAGTCTTATACAAAAGAGAAGAATGTTCACCATTTACTCATACAAAAATAATACCTTTCCGCGATAATAGATTTCATTCCAGCTTTCTTTCCCTCACATCCTGCATAACTTTAGGCCATTCATTTTGTTTTCACTTTTCAGTGCCGCCCGTGGCCCGCCCCGATTTTTTTTTAGGGGGGGGGGACTGGTTTTCACGTCTCCATAGACAGTGTTTAGAAAAAGCTTGTGGACATTCAACAGCCCTCACGACAATGTGCTTAACAAATTAATTCGCCACGAAAACACACACCTCTTCCGAACTTTCGCCCGTTAAAAAGGATTGACGTTACATAAAAAGTCATATCTAACCATATCGCTCAGCATTTGAAAGTATGAAAATACTCTTCAAGATGATCCCTTTTTTAAAATTTATAACATGTTCGGGATTATAGGGCCTTTTTGAGTTGAAAAATGCAATAACACAAACAAACTTGATTTCCTATGGAGCTCGAGGTCAACACGTTTTCTGGCTGTTTTTCGGGGGGTTCAGTTACTCAGTCGTATGAAATGCTCTTTCCAACAATATAAGAATTATTTTGATTGGAGGAGGGGGGAAAGATTTTTTCCAAGCCAATCACGGCACTCCTCTCTTTCCAGAGAACATTAATTTTGTGGTAACTTCAGTAGGATCGTGCCATGCACGAAATGGGATTGAAAATAAAGTCCTTCAATTTATTATAATTGTTTATAACAGGGGTAAACCCATTAGGGCTAAGCGCAGTTTTTTTTCGTTTCTGTACGTCTCTAACCAATGCATTCATTGTACTGGAAAAGCAGTGAGTGTCAAAATACTTTAAAAAGAAAAAAATATTTTGTAATGTATACATGCGCCGTTTTGCGCCACGATTTGTTGTAATCCCGCTGAGGTATGGACGCGTCCATTGACCCTTGGTGTTATTATGTGGCACGGATAATTATGACGTATGCACGTCGAGCTGTGTACAAAAGCTTGATAAAAGTAAACATCACCTATGCACTTCGAGCTGTCTGTGACCCGTGTACAAAGCTTGATAAGTCACACCAATGGAACGTTTCCATGTGAACGTGCTTCGTTGCTGACTTGCTGGTCCACAAGAATTGTGTTTCTCGACAGATGATGTAAAAGAAATCTTACAAAGCTTCTATCTTTAACTAATCATAACATTTTCAACACTGTTTATTTTATTTGTCAAATACTTTGGAAGGGGTTACTTTAAATTCTTAGTGGTTTTTCAAACCCTTTTTTAATCCAGAAAGACTTTAAGACAATACTTACAAAACCAGGCTGCTTGGCACCCAAAACACACTACTTTTAAACAGCAAAAACCAGAATACAAACCAGAATACAAACACTGTAATTGTTGAGATGTGTATAAACTTTTCAAAAAAGCCTCTCCAAACCTGAGGCTGAAGCAAAAGCAAAAATGTCAAGCAATTTTTTGATAAAGAACTCCATGGTAGTGCCCTGTGATTGGTCAGGTGACCAATCAAAGTGCCCCGTCATTGGTCTGTCTGATGCTTGCCAGGAAACAGTGTAGCCGAGCAATGCACAAGTCTGCTTTTCCTGAATTCAAAATGGCAGCCTCAAACAAGGCGTTTGTGACAAGGATGTTTCCCGAATTGAAGATGAAATTTCTCTTTTCTCAAGTTCCCAAAGGTATGTAAACCTAACCACCACCATTTGTACTTTCACTTCCCACTGAAGCCTACAGGGGCGCATAAGGCAGTTTGAAGATCGTTTTGGGGGTGAAATCTGACAATTTTGATTGGGGGTACGAGTGAAAATGGTCAAAAAAAAATTAATAGTAACCGCATTAGGGCCATCGATCTCAGACTCTATCGCCCGACCATGTCCAAATGTTAAAAAGCGATCCATATAGTCCTAGTTACTCGGACTAGATTTAAGTCTCAACCCAAAGTAAGAAAGTGTACAGAACTCTTTAGTAAATGTGATTCAGAGATTAAAATAAGACAAACGTTAAACACATTTTATTTCCAGAATATAAATTTTTGGAATTAGTCTTTACATAAAGAAAAGTCTTGATTGTACTCATAGGTACAATAGAGTACATAAAATGCAAAGTCCAGAACCATAATTTTTTGGTAGTACCTCCAGTGTAAATATGTGTTCATACTGCACAAGTAGCAGTCATAGTGCGTGCACGATAGACTATTATCAACTGAATGCCAACTTCATTAAAGTTATGATCAACTTGTGAAGTTATTAACCGAGATTTTGCTATTTTTTGCATGTGCTCTTTTTACTTGTTGTTCCAGAGGAATTGTTGTGTTTCTTGACAGATGATGTAAAAGAAATCCTAAAAAGCTTCTATCTTTAACTAGTCATGATATATTCAACACTGTTTATTTTTTATTTTTCAAATACTTTGGAAGGAAAATTATACTGTAATAGTGGTTTTTCAAACCCTTTTTTAATCCAGAAAGACTTTAAGACAATACTTACAAAACCAGGCTGCATGCATAGACATATGACTGCATGCATAGCGCTAGCGAAGATATCGTTTACCGCGTTCCGGCCGGATGAATAACAACTAGCGCCTTGACCAATGCTAGCGCGCGTACAGAACCGTTTTCTACGGAAGCGTATATGACCATCCGCGTTACTGCTTTACTGAGATAAAATATCTTGGAAACATGGAATTCTCTGAAAGGCTATCGTGGAAACGTGAAATACTGTGATAGCCTATCACAGAAATGTGGAATTTCGTGATAGACTATCGTGGAAACTTGGAATACTGTGATAGCCTATCACAGAAATGTGGAATTCCGTGATAGGCTATCGTGGAAATGTGAAATACTATGAAAGCTTATCACGGAAACGTGGAATATCGTTATAGCCTATCAAAGAAACATAGAATTCGCTGATAGGCTATCGTGAAAGCATGTAATTCCGTGGTGAGCTATCGTGGAAACGTGGGATTTTGTGACAGGCTAACGATATCATGGCATTTTGCTTTGCCACAATAAAACATCACGGAATTCCATGTTGCTAAGATACCCAATCGCGGTATTCCACGTCTTCGTGATTGGCTATTACAATATTCCGCGTTTCCACGATAGCATTTCACGGAATTCCACTTATTCATGATAGCCTATCACCGATTGCCACGTTTCCAAGATAACCTACCACGGATTTCCACGTTTCCATGATGGAATTCAACGTTTTCATGATGGGCTATCACTGCATTCCGAGTTGTAAAGATATTTTATGATGGAACTCTATGTTTCCAAGATATTTTATCTCAGTAACACAGTAACTCGAATGGTCATATACGCTTCCCTAGTTTTCAGAGTCCAGAGTCCATGACATTATGTAAACAGTGTGCACTCACTCTGTATAATATTTTCGTTTGCACGAAGTATGAAATTCACCAGTTTAAAGGCTTTTATTGAACGTTTCAAAGTGTTTCTCTCCGAATTGTATTTCCGTAACAGTCTTTTAACTTTGTGCAAACGAAATCGTTCGCGCCAGACAGTGTTCGAGGGCGGATCTGCATGAGGAAAGTCGAGGGAAACGTCAAAGTGCGCGACGTTTGGGGACTGGAGTAAGATGGAAGAAATAAAAAAAATACAACTTTGTTTTGAAATTCATTCGATAGAATACAAAAGTGGACTTACGGTCTGAAGAGCCTTTTCTTTTCAATTTTCGGACGATATTTTCAGGTCGAAATCTGCTCCGTAATTAAGAAATAAATCGTACTTCGGTTCGTGAAGAAATCGAAATCAGTATGGGTGCGCCGCGCAACTCAACTAGCAGGCCGGTACTTTTCATGTGTTGTCACGTTTTTAGTAGACATGATCTCGGCATCCCAGCCAGCTGGAGATCGTACCATACACAAAAGGGGGAAAATAAAGTCTATAACATTGTTGTAAATAACATAGGTGAACCCATTAGGCCAAGCGCAGTTTTTTTCGTTTCTTTAAGTCTCTAACCAATGCATTAATTGTACTGGAAAAGCAGTGAGTGTCAAAATACTTTATTAAATTAAAACATTTGTAATTATAAAGATGCACCGTTTTGCGCCACGATTTGTTGTAATCCCTCCGAGGTACAATGGACGCGTCCAAATTTTAATCTTCGTATCCTATTAATAATCAACAGAAAAAGTCATAAAGTTTTGCTATGGGAACCAGGTTTATCATGATATACCGTAGAGAAAGCCACGTAGGAGTCACGTTGGTGTTCTGGAAATGACGATTCCATTTTATTGAAGGGTAAGTCTTATACCAAAAAAAAGAATGTTCACCATTTACTCATAAAAAAATAATACCTTTCCGCGACAATAGATTTCATTCCAGCTTTCTTTCCCTCACATCCTGCATAACTTTAGGCCATTTATTTTTGTTTTCACTTTTCAGTGCTGCCCGTCGCCCGCCCCGATTTTCTTTTAGGGGGGGGGGGGGCGGGGAAGAGGTGGTTTTCACCTCTCCAAAGAAGTATTTTGAAAACCTTGCGGACATTCAACAGCCCTCACGACAATGTGCTTAACAAATAAATTCGCAACGAAAACACACCCCCCTTATCCGAACTTTCGCCCGTTAAAAAGGATTGACGTTACAATCATATCTAACCCTATCGCTCAGCATTTGAAAGTATGACTATATACTCTTCAAGATGATCACATTTTCAATGTATAACATGTTCGGGATTATAGGGCCTTTTTGAGTTGAAAAATGCAAATAAACACCAACAAAGTTGATTTCCTATGGAGCTCGAGGTCAACACGTTTTCTGGCCGTTTTTTTTTTTTTTGGGGGGGGGGGAGGGGGGTTCAGTTACTCAACCGTGTGAAATGCTCTTTCCAACAATATAAGAATTATTTTGATTGGAGGAGGGGGGAAGATTTTTTCCCTAGCCAATCACGTCACTCCTCTCTTTCCAGAGAACATTAATTTTGTGGTAACTTCAGTAGGATCGTGCCATGCACGAAATGGGATTGAAAATAAAGTCCTTCAATTTATTATAATTGTTTATAACAGGGGTAAACCCATTAGGGCTAAGCGCAGTTGTGTTTTTTTTCGTTTCTTTAAGTCTCTAACCAATGCATTAATTGTACTGGAAAAGCAGTGAGTGTCAAAATACTTTATTAAATTAAAACATATTTTGTAATATATACATGCGCCGTTTTGCGCCTCGATTTGTTGTAATCCCTCTGAGTCTGAGGTAAGGACGCGTCCGTTGACCCTTGGTGTTATTATGCGGCACGGACTTCATTATGACGCATCACGTCGAGCTGTACTGTTTACTTTGATAAAAGACCACCTGCTGATCTATGCACTGTAGGGCCATGTGTACAAAGCTTGATAAGTAAACACCACCAATGGAACCTTTCCGATGCGGATGTGAACGTGCTCCGTTGCTGACTTGTTGGTCCACAAGAATTGTTTTCTCGACAGATGATGTAAAAGAAAGCTTCTATCTTTAACTAATCATAACATTTTCAACACTGTTTATTTTATTTGTCAAATACTTTGGAAGGGGTTACTCAGTGTAAATTCTTAGTGGTTTTTCAAACCCTTTTTTGAATCCAGAAAGACTTTAAGACAATACTTACAAAACCACTGCTTGGCACCCAAAACACACTACTTTTGAAACAGCAAAAACCAGAATCCAAACCAGAATACAAACACTGTAATTGCTGAGATGTGTGTAAACTTTTCAAAAAAGCCTCTCCAAACCTGAGGCTGAAGCAAAAGCATAAATGTCAAGCATTTTTTTGATAAAGAACTCGTTGGTAGTGCCCTGTAGTTGGTCAGGTGACCAATCAAAGTGCCCTGTGATTGGTCTATCTGATGCTTGCCAGGAACAGTGTAGCCGAGCTATGCACAAGTCTGCTTTTCCTGAATTCAAAAAGGCAGCCTCAAACAAGGCGTTTGTGACAAGGATGTTTCCCGAATTGAAGGTGAAATTTCTCTTTTCTCGAGTTCCCAAAGGTATGTAAACCTAACCACCACCATTTGTATTTTCACTTCCCACTGAAGCCTACAGGGGCGCATAAGGCAGTTTGAAGATCGTTTTGGGGGTGAAATCTGACGATTTTGATTGGGGTACGAGTGAAAATGGTCAAAAAAATTAATAGTAACCGCAATAGGGGCATCGATCTCAGACTCTACTATCGCCCGACCATGTCCAAATGTTAAAAAGCGATCCATTGAGTCCTAGTTACTCGGACTAGATTTAAGTCTCAGTCCAAAGTAAAGAAGTGTACAGAACTCTTCAGTAAATGTGATTCAGAGATTAAAATAAGGAAAACGTTAAACACATTTTATTTCCAGAATATAACTTTTTGGCATTAGTCTTTACATAAAGAATAGTCTTGATTATACTCATAGGTTCAATAGAGTACATAAAATGAAAAGTCCACAACCATATTTTTTTGGTATAGATCCTCCAGTGTAAATATATGTGTTTCATACTGCACAAGTGACAGTCATAATGCGTGTACGATAGACTATTTATAAACTGAATGCCAACTTCATTAAAGTTATGATCAACTTGTGAAGCTATTAACCGAGATTTTGCTATTTTTTGCATGTGCTCTTTTTACTTGTTGGTCCAGAGGAATTGTTGTGTTTCTTGACAGATGATGTAAAAGAAATCGTAAAAAGCTTCTATCTTGAACTAGTCATAATATATTCAACACTGTTTATTTGTTCTTTTTCAAATATTTTGGAAGGAAAATTATACTGTAATAGTGGTTTTTCAAACCCTTTTTTAATCCAGAAAGACTATAAGATAATACTCACAAAACCAGGCTGCTTAGCACCCAAAAAAACACTACTTTTAAACAGCAAAAACCCGCAGAAATACCAACTAAAATACAAGCACTATAATGCTGAAATGTGTATAAACTTTTTACAATCTCATTTCTATTTTTTTAAACAAAATTCTGAGAAAAATATTATTTTTTATTTAAAAGTATTAAAGATATTTCGTTTGAAAACCTAATTATATTTCAGTATAAATTCTGAGATCAGGACTGTTTAGAAGTCTATACTTTATAATTATTTCAGTTCATGTATATCATTAGCTGGTTATAGTATGACAAAGATTACGCACATATTTTTCTCGGCCAATTATAAGGACGTAGCATTGGATCGATTCATATACCACACAAAATACTGCCTCATTATGAAACAAGCTCGATCGATCTCGGAAGCTGTGGGGCCAACGAATTTGTGTTACCTTATTTTGATCTTTGACCCCATAACTGTAGGTCAGACGAAGAGGTGACATGTTGACAGCGCTAATTTTGTCCTTTCAATTGCTTAGAAAATTTAAAAAAATATTAATTTTAGAAAAATATATGAAATACACCAAGAAGGTAGGAAAATTCCAACTTGCATAGAAAATTTCTAAATTTGACATGCATAACTTTTAAGAAATTCCTGCGCAGCTGTTAACACTTTTATCTTTTCCACAATTTTTTTTTTTTACATTTGTGAAAAAAATTCAGCGCGATTCAGCCAATTAACCTGTAAAAATATGAAATAAATTAAGCTATTAAAAAAATTAGAAAACTGAAGAAATGTTACATGAACTCCCAGTAAAATAGCCTTGCCCTCCTCTACTTCCACGCTCCTGACCAGAATATGGTCAATTTTGTCCCAGAGTCACCATTGTGTTACCAACACTGAAAAGTTGAGCATGGCTATATGAAACAACTTACAATAAAATTAAACAAAAACTTTCCTCAAGTTATTACAATTGTTAGAAACAATTTTTGATAAGTATTTAATTTATTTTATTTGCTTGTTTTTTTGAAAGTCAAAATTTGGTAGTTCTGTTTTAGAGGAAACTTAACGGCTTATTTTGATCAATTTTCCAGGGATCGACCGACCGACCACCAAGTACCATGTACAACGTGATGTAAAGGGGATACCCCTTTAATTTGACAAGTGATTTTCATTTAAAGCTCTGACACTCCTGGCAGAGCTTTTGACTTTTTCAAATACTTTGGAAGGAAAATTATACTGTAATAGTGGTTTTTCAAACCCTTTTTTAATCCAGAAAGACTATAAGATAATACTCACAAAACCAGGCTGCTTAGCACCAAAAAAACACTACTTTTAAACAGCAAAAACCCGCAGAAATACCAACTAAAATACAAGCACTATAATGCTGAAATGTGTATAAACTTTTTACAATCTCATTTCTATTATTTAAAACAAAATTCTGAGGAAATTATTATTTTTTATTTAAAAGTATTAAAGATATTTCGTTTGAAAACCTAATTATATTTCAGTATAAATTCTGAGATCAGGACTGTTTAGAAGTCTATACTTTATAATTATTTCAGTTCATGTATATCATTAGCTGGTTATAGTATGACAAAGATTACGCACATATTTTTCTCGGCCAATTATAAGGACGTAGCATTGGATCGATTCATATACCACACAAAATACTGCCTCATTATGAAACAAGCTCGATCGATCTCGGAAGCTGTGGGGCCAACGAATTTGTGTTCACCTTATTTTGACCTTTGACCCCATAACTGTAGGTCAGACGAAGAGGTGACATGTTGACAGCGCTAATTTTGTCCTTTCAATTGCTTTGAAAATTTAAAAAAATATTAATTTTAGAAAAATATATGAAATACACCAAGAAGGTAGGAAAATTCCAACTTGCATAGAAAATTTCTAAATTTGACATGCATAACTTTTAAGAAATTCCTGCGCAGCTGTTAACACTTTTATCTTTTCCACAATTTTTTTTTTTTTACATTTGTGAAAAAAAATTCAGCGCGATTCAGCCAATTAACCTGTAAAAATATGAAATAAATTAAGCTATTAAAAAAATTAGAAAACTGAAGAAATGTTACATGAACTCCCAGTAAAATAGCCTTGCACTTGCCTCTACTTCCACGCTCCCGACCAGAATTTGGTCAATTTTGTCCCAGAGTCACCATTGTGTTACCAACACTGAAAAGTTGAGCATGGCTATATGAAACAACTTACAATAAAATTAAACAAAAACTTTCCCTAAGTTATTACAATTGTTAGAAACAATTTTTGATAAGTATTTAATTTATTTTATTTGCTTGTTTTTTTGAAAGTCAAAATTTGGTAGTTCTGTTTTAGAGAAAACTTAACGGCTTATTTTGATCAATTTTCCAGGGATCGACCGACCGACCACCAAGTACCATGTACAACGTGATGTAAAGGGGATACCCCTTTAATTTGACAAGTAATTTTCACTTAAAGCTCTGACACTCCTGGCAGAGCTTTAAATGAAAATCACTTTTCAAATTAAAGGGGCATCCCCTTTACATCACGTTGTACAATTTTTAGAATCTCTTTTCAAAACTGATTTGTTTTTGATCGTTAAAGTTTAGAATATGTCAACATAATTTAAAGACTAATTCTACTTTAAAGAAAAAAAGACAGATCGACTGCAAGTTTCTAAATATTAAAATTAAAACTCCAGAGAAATATATTTACTTTTCAAAATCGACTTCACGTGATGGGCTCCATTTATACTCGCTGGAGGTAGTTAACACTGGTATTGTTCATGTGTAGTGTAAAATGCCTCATCATCTCCAACAGATTTCGAATAATTTTTTTCTTGTGGAATGCCACGATAAAATTACAACATGAAGTGTTTTTTTGGGGCGATTACAGTTAGAAATCATTCTGTCCAAAATTATAGCAAGAGAAAGGGCAACCCGGTGTAAATGCCCAGAGACAGGTCATGAAGAGGTCTGGAGCCTCATAGGCAAAGTGGCGTAGGTTCCAGCACGAATGAGTTCACTTTGTTTCTTCTTCAGACAGCCCTGTTTTAATGACAAACAATGCAAATGATTATTGCTAAATTAGGATAATTTGCAGTGGATCATGTCACCCGAAGACATGACGTTCAGGTTTGAACTGCGAATAATAAATATCTTACTAGAAAACAATTCCCTTTCTTTTAAGCATAAAAACATAGTGGCGGCACGCGTAATTGTTTTCCTCAGGCTAGGAGGGTTAGGGGCAATGTCATGAATAATTCAGTTTTTCCTTTGAATCATTGCAAGACTTAGGTTTTCGTTCTATTTTCCCCTTAATTTAAAATTATCTCAGTGATGAATTTGGAGAAGAAAAATAGCTGATGAAAATGAGCAGAGACGACGTGGATTCGAACCAGGGATCTTTGTATCCATATCTCATCTCGCTATCCACTAGGCTATACTGTGTAGTAGCTCGACGACAACCGTTCTTTAAAATGCTTTAATGTATTGTAACTAGTTGAGTAACTAACAACAATGCTGTTGATGTCATTGTCCGTTCTCATGGATAAACATGAATTATTCATGACAATGCCCCTAACCCTCCTAGGAATAAAAATTACGCTGGCGGCACCGGGGGGGGGGAGGGGGGCGTGGGCGCCAAGGGGGGATTTGCACAACAAGTTATTTCCTTGGTCACAGGTCACGCAAAATCTATCAAATCAGAGCGTTAATTCGTCAGCCCTTCTCTGCATCCTGTTAGCAGGGCGGGGGGTACGAGTAAATCCGACTCATTATTGTTCTCGCGCTCGAACGGCGGGAACACGACCCATCACGAACACTGCACTCGGAGCAGGATGTCACACCAAACCCCTATTATATCCGTCGTTTTGCAATAATGATATACCCGTGTCAAGAACAAGACACGCCCCAAATCGACGAATGAGTGCTTGCTGGATGACACTTCTTTCACATGATATTCTCGATTTTTGTTATTTCTCATCGGGATACCAAAATATCTTCGTTACAGTTTTGTCCAACGTGAAATGATCACACTTTAAATTTAAGATCGAATGTTTACATTGTTATGTATTAGCTGAACATCGATTGGTATGGTTACACCACAGATCAGAATAGTTTTGTGAACTCTTATCTCAGGGTAACATGTTTTCAAAAATAATATAAGTGTGTGGCATCTGCTGGAGCATCTGAACTTCTGAAACATGTTTAAGAAATGTTATTCCTGAAATTTAAAAAAAGTAATACAAATTTGATGCAGCCTCAAAAAGGAAGCGGGTGTGCCGTTGGGTTACTTGTGGTTTCACGGAATGGACAGAGCAGCAACAAAATAAGGAATCGGTTCTTAAAACAATATTCCAAATATAGGCTATTTCAGCAAAAACAATTTTTAGAATTTTGGATATTTTGCTGTCACAAATTTCTTTTATTTGGTGATTCTTTGATGTTTCAGTACATGGCAGTAAGCCAATGGGCAACCCTTTCCAACAAATGTGTTCAGTTAGCAAATTTTGGATGAATAATTTTAAAGAAAAACCCCTAAACTGAACAGTGTCTTTCTGAAGAGAACATCGCAGTAACAGCGCGCTCATACGTAGTCTGGAAAAGCATGGAAACTTTTTAATGTTTAAAGAAGTGCACTTTTGCAATAAGATTAACTAAAAAATATTGTCAAATGTGGAGTTTTCTATTATCTCACAGTAGTAAAGAGTTGCACAAAAAGAATTCCTGAGAAAATTTAATTGCACATACCCTTTAATTAAGAAAGAAAAGTATCTACGGATTGAAAACGTCAAATGTGATTCACGCTAAGGAATACGGACACGTATGAAGTCTTAAAAGATGTTTGAAAAAATGTGAAATATGCTTGCCCATTAATGAAAACGAATGCCCGATCAGCCCCTTACTGCTGGGTTAGACGAAATTGAATGAACAACGCGATACCTTTAATACGAATGCATCTTTGATTAGGACGAGTGAAGCGAAAAGAAGATAGAATGCTCGGATAGTGAAATTGAATAATTCTTTTTGATTGTCGAATGCCGATCTGCGTGATCTTTCAATTTCAATCTAAATCGAATGAGCCAGGCGTTAAATTGAATGAAAACTTGGTGAAATTGGCCGGGAAAACCTATAATAAAATCAGTAAAACAGTTTCAGCTTAAACAAAAATTGCAGTGGTAATGCTGCCACTCACAGCTTCAAAAAAGAGGAATATACATTAATTTTTTCTTCTTAAAAAAGTTTGCAAACAAAAAAGTGGGTCCATTTGATGAGACTTTTTACATGTTATACAACAATTATCTAACCGGCCTGTAATGTGTACATGTGCTCAAAGTCTCGTCTGTTTAGTTAAAAATAAACAAGTAATGCTCATTCAGTACAGATTGTCAGATTGAACAAACTTATGTCATCTAAATACCATGCTTCTTGTGTGGGTAACAACATGTGCAGGCTTAAATCCCCCAACTAAAAGAATATAGAAATAAATGAATGAATTAAGTTACATTATTTTCGTTTTCCCGGCTATTTTAAAACGTTTATCATTCAAATTCACCGTTTCTAATATTCGTATTTGTCGATCACCATTGATTTAGTGCACTTCCAACGTTTAATTTCGTCTTTTTTGTGACAATATAAAATTCAGTTCAAGCAATTCAAACAACAAGTTCACGTTTTCTTATCGGCTAGTATCGATTGCCTCTAGTCTACGCCAAACCTTTTTAGTCACAAAATTTAATTCGTCTAATTGATTTATAAACAACGAATTTGATTTTTGAATGCTGCCATTTGGCAACAGTTTCGATGAATTTGATCGGTTATGATCTTCAAATGGAACTTGAAAGAACTATTATCTGGCAAGCGCTCATTGCGTGCAAAAATGTTTCTGACTGTGTCAATAGAGGCGCTGTTTCTTATGTTTTTCCCTCATGCAACATTTTCGGCCTTTTTATCCCAGATTAGCTCATTCCCAAACAGACTGTGGATCGGGGAACCGCTGATTTTTTTTTTAGATATGGTACATCATAATCTACATGTCTAGGAAGGGTTATAAAATTCGGTGGACCAGATCGCGTATCTCGAAAATTTAAGCGTTTTCGGCCTCTGGTCCCACGGACCTAATGGGCACGCGCGCGAATACACAGGCTTTTAGTTGACATGCCCCCAAAATATTTCCCTGAACCCAATTGCCCCCCCCCCCATTTTAGAGTCGGGCGCCGCCAATGGACCAACGCAAACCCCATCATGTCCTCGTCATCAGCTAGCATTTAGCGTCATATACTCAAGGATAACAAAAAAGCCAACGCACTTTAACTTTTTAAAGCTATGCAATACACATAAGTCGCAGTTTATTACCCTTTACATGGGCATGATGGGCGGCAAACCCGGTTGACGATACATGTTTGAACAGCGCCCCCTTTGAGTGAGATAGACTCCACCTCGCCCCCTCCCCCTTTGAATTTCCCTAAGGTGCTGATCCTCCCTACCCCTCCTCGTGCACAGTTGACAAAATATTTAGCAAAGCTCCTAACCCCTGCCAAGTCCCAGCACCAACTTTTTTTAATACATGTACAATTATACACACTGTACTTACAATGTAGACACAGGCAGCGACAAAGCAGATGAGTAAGATTGAAGCCACGACCCATATCGCAATCGAATCGACGGGTTTGTTGGGAATTGGAATACCGTCTGTCAAAGCAAGCGTTGTTCCTGAAAAGAGTCAAAAGGCACTCTGACACAATATCTGACTAGGTTCGTTTGATATGTAACTTGATTTAATTCACTTCTGGCTTTATTCGATTGATATCTGACTGATGCGATTGATATCTGACTTGATCGAATCACTGAGTTTCATTGTTTCATCACCTAATAGACCCCATCTGACGTCACATCTGACGTCCTTTTCCTCTGGGATTCGATACGCATTAGTACACACAATGTATTTATAATACATTCAGGTGACAGGCACGATCCCTCTGCCTAGTTCCGTTAGAGTTCGCATAAGCAATAGCACCTGGGACTATTAACCAAATGAACGAGAAATTATATTTGATTTTCTATTCAAAGACCTTTTGCCCAGCAAAATGATTCCTGGATAGTTTTACAATTTTGCTGAAATCAAATTCTTTTTGTCAACATTATATTACTCGTGATTAGTAGCGGTCATTTAAAGCAAACAAAAGTCGAATTATAATTCTTCTCAATGAAGAGAATCAAAATATTGCCAGATTCGCACTCGTGATTGTGTGTGAATGCAGTTACATAATTACTACGAAGTGAACACAATAATTGCACTAGTTCAGAAAGCGTGGTTCACTGATTTCTTCCCATGATGTAGTTACATTCTATCGTAATTGCAGCCGGTTTTATTGAACCACATCGGTATTTCCCGATCAACATCAAATTATATATAGAACTTTCACAATAACATCGAAATTACACAATGTACGGTTTACTAATCCAATATAGCAGCCAGATATTGAGTCACACTAAGTCCGCGAAATGAAACCTACCTGGATTGCTGGAGGAACGAACTTCATCATAAGTTGCCGTTGTGGGTTTAGTTTTGGTAAGGCGCACCCTCGTGCGTGTAGAACTGCTTCCTACAGCAACACCCGTTGCCTCACACACATATTCTATGTCATTGTCATCCGAAGGAACTTGGATTGTTGCTGAAGTTGAATAGGTGTTGTTCCTCAACGACGAACCTGATCGATAGATTTATAGATACATATAACACGCATATGTTTTATTAACAGGTAACTAAAAATCGGAAACGATCATTACTGTGTATGGGGCGCTGTTATGTTCAATGTCGATGATATTTTTGTCAATTTTGGCGACCAAAAAAGATAGAACTAGGGAGGGGAGAGGAGTGTATCCCCACGGCCCCACAACCCCTCCAGCGATGCCAGTAATTACCTGATTCCTCCATGATCTTATGAAGAACATTGCTTACCTGTGTTAGCCGGTAGAACTACAGGCCTGACTGCTGTTGAGGCCTCGAGTTCCGTCAGCCCGCCCAAAAACCACTTCAATTGCACGGCAGGTTTGACCTGCTCCATGACGCAGGTCAGGTTATGCACCGTGCTGTCGTGTCGTACTCTCACCTTGCACGTGTCTGCGTCGTGGTCTCGATTACAGCCGATGACGGTAGGATATGATCGACTTGGGGCGACTTTTGGTAAAGGGTAATGGACATCATTAATTTTGCACAAAAAAAATGGATTTTCACTGATTCAAGGAACAACGATACAATGAATCAGAAAAAGGTTATTCAACAAACTAGCCTGCCCAAATTTCAGCTCAGATACTTCTGCAAAAAAAAACACTGAAAGTGCATTCTCTTGTGGTAAGATCCCAGTTTGTCATTTCAAGATGAGTTCGCCCAAACGATCGGGACAATGATGGGAATTCCTCTTTTATTGAAAATGAAAGCATACTAGGCCCAGTGATTTCTCAGGAGGTTTGATCCTGTTATTTATTTACAGTAAAGCAGGACATTTCCTAATATTTTGGTACTTTCGTTTTTAAATGATTGAGGTATGGTAATCAAAGTGTGATTCAGAGATTGGGGGTTACATTCGAGTAAAAACTTGTCCGAGACTCGAGACAAAGTACAGGAACCAGACGTCATTATCGTAATCGACCTGGGGCAATGTCATAAAGCTGCACAGAAATTTCCTAAACACAGGAAATATTTCTTTGGCAAAAAAATTACCTGCCAACATGCCATGTGATTATTATTGCTTGTGACTGCAGGTTGCCAGCTCATCTTTGTTTAGCACGTATCGTGTATATAATTATATGCTAAGAAATAGTTGCTGTTTAAAATCTCCATGAAATTGGGAAATGTGCAGATCCAAATGTCAGAAATTTCTTAATAAATATTCTTCCAAATTAGTTTTTATATTATAGTGACAGTGAGACAAATGAACTTCTTTTTGTTTTTGTATATTTTAAAGGAATTTGCAAAATGCTAAGAAACATTTGAAGCAAACACAAGTAAGGTAAACTCACAAAATGGACTCACCCTTGTCACAAACTTCAATCTGTCCATATTCCATGCTTAGTAAATGCGGTTTCAGCTTAAAGAAGTAGGTTCCCTCATTGGGGGCGGTGACGTTCTCGATGATGAGATTGCACTCATCGTCGATATCATAAACGCCCTCTGGGATCCCGTTTTGGGGAGCCACTCTTCCATTGAAGTATGAGATGAGCATGAATGTGTCGCTTAGTGAGCCATAGAACCAGTATATCGCGTCGACGTCTTCTACCATCAATTTGCAAGTTAGGCTATTTGGACCGGGCACAATCCCGCGGTGGCCTCGTTCTAAGAGCAAGGCTCCATCATGAGTTGCCGTTGTGGGTTTAGTTTTGGTAAGGCGCACCCTCGTGCGTGTAGTACTGCTTCCTAGTACAGCAACACCCATTGCCTCACACACATATTCTATGTCATTGTAATCCGAAGGAACTTGGATTGTTGCTGAAGTTGAATAGGTGTTGTTCCTCAACCACAAACCTGATCGATAGATTTAAAGAACAAAAACTGATACATAATACACATGTATATGTTTTAATAACAGTTAACAAAACAGATAACGATCATGTCTGTGTATGGGGCGCCGTTATGTTCAAGGTCGACGATATTTTGAAACAGACACACGACGGACGGACACACAATTTTGTCGACAGTACAACGATTTTGCCGACCAAAAAAATTACCAGGGAGGGGAGAGGAGTGAACACCCCCACGGCCTCACAACCCTTCAAGTGATGCCACTGACTATACACGATTCCTCCATTATCTTATGAAGAACATTGCTTACCTGTGTTAGCCGGTAGAACCACAGGCCTGACTGCTGATGAGGCCTTCAGTTCCGTCAGCCCGCCCAAAAACCACTTCAATTCCACAGCAGGTTTGACCTGCTCCATGACGCAGGTCAGGTTGTGCATCGTTCTGTCGTGTCGTACTCTCGCCTCGCACGTGTCTACCTCGTGGTCTTGATTGCAGCCGATGACGGTAGGATATGAACGTCTTGGGGAGACTGTTGATAAAGGGTAATGGACATCATTTGCCAAAAGAAAATGGATTTTCAACAATACAATGAATCTGAAGAAGGTTATTCAACAAACTAGCCGGCCCAAATTTCAGCTCAGATACTTCTGCAAAAAACACTGAAAGTGCATTCTCTTGTGATAAGATCCCAGTTTGTCATTTCAAGATGAGTTTGTCCTAGCCATCGGGACATTGATGGGAATTCCTGTTTTCTCGAAAATGACAGCATACTAGGCCCAGTGATTTCACAGGATGTATGATCCTATTATTTACTTACATTAAAGTAGGATATTTTCTATATTTTCTACAATATTTTTGTACTTTCGTTTTTAAATGATTGAGGTATGTTAATCAAAGTGTGATTCGGAGATTGGGGATTACATTCGAGTAAAAACTTGTCCGAGACTCGAGACAAAGTACGGGAACCAGACGTCATTATTTTTATCGACCTGCGGCCAATGTCATGGAGCTGCTAGGCACATGACATTCCCTAAACACTGGAAATATTTCCTTGGCAAAGAATTTACCCACCAACATGCCATGCTGAGCAATATTTGCTGTTTAAAATCTCCATGAACATGGGAAATGTGCAGATCCAAATTTCGGAATTTTTAAATAAATATTCTTTCAAATTTAGTTTTTATATTATACTAGTGACAGTGAGACAATTGAACTTCTTTGTTGTTTTTGTATATTGTAAAGGAATTTGCAAAATGCTAAGAAACATTTGAAGCAACCAGTAAACTAAACTCACAAAATGGACTCACCCTTGTCACAAACTTCAATCTGTCCCACTTCCATGCCTAGTAAATGCGGTTTCAGCTTATAGTAGTAGGTTCCCTGATTGGAGGCGGTGACGTTCTCAATGATGAGATTGCACTCATTGTCGATATCATAGACGCCCTCTGGGATCCCGTTTTGGGGAGCCACTCTTCCCAAGAAGTACGAGATGAGCAGGGCTGTGTTGCTTATTGAGCCATAGCGCCAGTACATCGCGTCGACCTCCTCTACCAGCATATTGCAAGATTTGCTCAGGGGACAGGGCATGATCCCACGGTGGCCTCGTTCTAAGAACAAGGTTCCAACGGTGGTCGCTCGGACTAATGTACCTAAACCTATAATGAACGAGGCATTTATGATTTTATTACATAAATCTAGGAAATCTAGGTCAATTGACATTCTTTTTGACACGATCGTATTGCTCTTGATTAGTAATTTGAAAATGTAGTAAATTAACTCCAGTCAAATAGTTTTCTCAGTTTGGACCAAAAGTCAAACACCGCCAGATTTGCCTTCATAATTGTGTTAGGAGGCATTATAGAAGGAAACCATTGCCGTATTTCACCCCCAGATGTAGTCAGGATTTCCCGAAAGGTTTTTGCCCGTAATTCACAGCCACTTTTATTAACAACATTGGAATTCCCCATATAAGCCCAATACTCTTTTAGACTTTAAATTGGGATTACTGAGTTTGCATGTACAATCCATGCAGTGCAGCCAGATCACATCATGAGTCCGCAAAAAAATAGACTGCTTACAGATGCAGTATAACAGCAATGATGATGGTACCCGCTGTATTCGAATTCCGACTCGCCTCGTCATTTTGCCGTCTCTATAATGGAAGCAAAAATGCAATTATAAGTAAACGTCACAATTTGTTGAAGTCTTTTCCAGATTTATTTTTATTGTGCAGCGGCGGAACGGGTTTGAAGCTGGGGGGGGGGGGGGCATCACCAAAAAGGGGCACTTGCAAACCCGTGCTGAAATGTCGACACGTTTTTTTCACCGGACACTTGGCCTCTGTAAAATCAAATAGGGGGCGCTCTTCAAAACCAATGATTATATGTGCCCATTTTCAGGGCGTATTGTATGGGTTTTGGGACTTGGTTTTCATATTTCTCGTTCTTATATCAAAAATATCGATACAATTTTTGGGAAATGGTTACTTCTAAGAAATAGTAAGATACTTAAAGGGCATTTTTGTTGGCTCAAGCTGGCCGCGATGTCGGCCCGAAATCCAGCCTCGAACTCAGCCTCGAACTCAGCCTCGAACTCAAAAAATTTAAAACACATGCACCAAAAGGAGGTCGCTATTCCCATTACTTTGTGCACAGTTTTAACAATCTCTTTTAAAACCAAAAATCCCCCCCCCTAGAAATAAATAAAGTACACATTTTTAGTTCATTATCTGAAAGACCAAACCTCTGGGCACACTTAATTTGGGACAAGGCTGAATCGGGGCATTTTTAGTACCCAGCCTCACATTATGAAAATGACATATTTTTCCCATTACTTTGTGCACAGTTTTGACACGCTCCTTTAAAACCAAAATCCCCCCCTAGAAATAAATAAAGTACACATTTTTAATTCATTATCTGAAAGACCAAATCACTGGGCACACTTAATTTGGGACAAGGCTGAATCGGGGCATTTTTAGTACCCAGCCTCACATTATGAAAATGACATATTTTTCCCATTACTTTGTGCACAGTTTTGACACGCTCCTTTAAAACCAAAATCCCCCCTAGAAATAAATAAAGTGCACATTTTTAGTTCATTATCTAAAAGACCAAATCACTGGGTACACTTCATTTGGAACAAGGCTGAATCGGGGCATTTTTAGTACCCAGCCTCACATTATGAAAATGACATATTTTTCCCATTACTTTGTGCACAGTTTTGACACGCTCCTTTAAAACGAAAATCCCCCCCCCCCTAGAAATAAATAAAGTGCACATTTTTAGTTCATTATCTGAAAGACCAAATCACTGGGCACACTTAATTTGGGACAAGGCTGAATCGGGGCATTTTTACTACCCAGCCTCACATTATGAAAATGACATATTTTTCCCATTACTGTGTGCACAGTTTTGACACGCTCCTTTAAAACCAAAATCCCCCCCTAGAAATAAATAAAGTACACATTTTTAGTTCATTACCTGAAAGACCAAATCACTGGGTACACTTAATTTGGGACAAGACTGAATCGGGGCATTTTTAGTACCCAGCCTCACATTATGAAAATGACATATTTTTCCCATTACTTTGTGCACAGTTTTGACAGGCTCCTTTAAAACCAAAATCCCCCCCCCCTAAAAATAAATAAAGTGCACATTTTTAGTTCATTATCTGAAAGACCAAATCACTGGGCACACTTAATTTGGGACAAGGCTGAATCGGGGCATTTTTAGTACCCAGCCTCACATTATGAAAATGACATATTTTTTCCATTACTTTGTGCACAGTTTTAACAATCTCTTTTAAAACCAAAATCCCCCCCCCCCCTTGAAATAAATAAAGTGAACATTTTTAGTTCATTATCTGAAACACCAAATCACTGGGCACACTTAATTTGGGACAAGGCTTAATCGGGGCATTTTTAGTACCCAGCCTCACATTATGAAAATGACATATTTTTCCCATTACTTTGTGCACAGTTTTGACACGCTCCTTTAAAACCAAAAATCCCCCCCTAGAAATAAATAAAGTGCACATTTTTAGTTCATTATCTGAAAGACCAAACCTCTGGGCACACTTAATTTGGGACAAGGCTGAATCGGGGCATTTTTAGTACCCAGCCTCACATTATGAAAATGACATATTTTTTCCTTTAATTTGTGCACAGTTTTGACACGCTCCTTTAAAACCAAAATCCCCCCCCCCCCCTAGAAATAAAAAAAGTACACAATTTTAGTTCATTATCTGAAAGACCAAACCTATGGGCACACTTAATTTTGGACAAGGCTGAATCGGGGCATTTTTAGTACCCAGCCTCACATTATGAAAATGACATATTTTTCCCTTTACTTTGTGCACAGTTTTGACACGCTCCTTTAAAACCAAAAATCCCCCCCCTAGAAATAAATAAAGTACACATATTTAGTTCACTACCTGAAAGACCAAACCTCTGGGCACACTTAATTTGGGACAAGGCTGAATCGGGGCATTTTTACTACCCAGCCTCACATTATGAAAATGACATATTTTTCCTATTACTTTGTGCACAGTTTTGACACGCTCCTTTAAAACCAAAATCCCCCCTAGAAATAAATAAAGTGCACATTTTTAGTTCATTATCTGAAAGAGCAAATCACTGGGCACACTTAATTTGGGACAAGGCTGAATCGGGGCATTTTTAGTACCCAGCCTCACATTATGAAAATGACATATTTTTCCCATTACTTTGTGCACAGTTTTGACACGCTCCTTTAAAACCAAAAATCCCCCCCCCCCCTAGAAATAAATAAAGTGCACATTTTTAGTTCATTATCTGAAAGACCAAACCTCTGGGCACACTTTATTTGGGACAAGGCTGAATCGGGGCATTTTTACTACCCAGCCTCACATTATGAAAATGACATATTTTTTCCATTTATACTTTGTGCACAGTTTTGACACGCTCCTTTAAAACCAAAATCCCCCTAGAAATAAAAAAAATTGCACATTTTTAGTTCATTATGAAAGACCAATGTATTTATACCGGAGGCTACCGGACCTAAGATTCATCAGAATCTTTTGGTCTGGGAACCAGACTAGGGCAAAGCACGCGAGCGCATTAAGGGCGCGCCCGGCGTGCAATCTTCGAAATGCGCACGCATTACGCTGTGAATAGCCAATCAGCGTCATTTACATCATAATCACGGCCAGTGGTTGGTGTAAGGGACGCGCACGCGCCCATGGAGTCGAGGCTACAGACTGCCCGAACTCGGACGGCTGGGCCATTGCATGAGAAAAAGTTTCTATGTCAATAGAGGGCGCTGTTTCTTTTTTTCTTTTTTCTCAGGTAGAAATTTCGGCGTTTTTATCTCAGATTTTCTCATTCTCAAACAAACTGTGGACCGGGGAACAATGTTTTTTTCGATATGGTACACCATAATGTACATGTCTTTGAAGTTTTATAAAATTTGGCGAACCAGACCGCGTGGTGAGCGAAAAAAAGGCCTCGTCCCATGAACTAATTCGCAGGAAGTATGAACCGAGCTGTAATAACAACATTATTTGTTTCCGTGTAGTGGTAGTTTCCTTGTCTCATTATGAAAATGTTTTGTCTACATTGAGGACAGGTTGTTCGAAGTCCCTAACCAACTCTTTGTAAAAAGGTTGCGTATCTTTAGCTGACCGTACGAGAACGGACTGTACCAAGTATATTATAACCACTTACTGAGACATTGGAACAAATCTTCAACTTGAGGTCATTGATTTTTAAAGAACAAAGTTTGGCCTTGATAAACACCCTGTGCCCCTTTGTTGGCGGGGCTGCAAATTCCTGCATGTCCGGCTGTTTTGTTGATGTTACCGTCCCCCCAAAAATAGCCCATTTGATACTTCCTTCCATCTGATCATTGTAATCATCCGGACAATGAAGAACACCAGCGCCATAGTGGCACAGGCTTGCGCCAATGTAACTGTTCACAACAATCATTGTTTTAACTTTAAGCGTTAACATTAAATACCTTTGCATTTCTCATGAACATCATTCATTAATTTTTACCAACTCCGCTTCACCAAATCCTGCCAGTGTAGTCAGTATTAATAAGGGAATAAAATGTGTGCTCCGGAGGTTTTTAAACAGAGTGATAAACACCGACCGGGCACATATTTATTCCCATTCATAAATACCTTTTCGGTAAAAAAAAAATATCATATAATTCGTTCAAAAATCATAATGTTCAACAAGTTCACTTTATGCTATTTGAAACATCCCTCTAGCAAAATAATGGAGTGTTCAGCTGGCGAGTAAGATGTAAACAACCCTTTTATGGAGATTGACGCGCGCGTAGCACGTTCTGCGCGAGGTCGCGCAGAACGCACCTGGGGCGTTGCGTTTTGAATTTAGAACTATAGAATTCGGACTCACTGGTAGTGTTGCGCATGCCTACGTGAAGATTGTGAACGTTCAACCAATGAAACGGTAAGAGCCACTGGATTTTTAGGAGTCCATATTTTATGTGACACTGGAAAAGTGTTTAAGACCAGCTAGCTATGTCTTTATCATCCGTTTAAGACCAGCCACGTGACGGGCTCTCGACCAATAGGAATGGATAAACTATCTGAGGCATTTATGAATATAGCTTTAAACAAAGCGCGGTGGAATGCAAAACTCGCCTGC